GACCTCAGGGACCGCCAGTTGGAAAAATGAGCCAATCAGCTAACGTATTAGCTCAGATAATGTCATTAAAACATTCTAAAGGCTCCAAACTCAATCCAGAGTCCAGGTCAGGAACTCCAGTTAGCAGCTATCATCCACCTGACCCGTAATAGTACAGACTTTAAGCCTTAAACTTCTTAAAGGTGAATGAAATGTACACCCGTTGTTATAATCGTTATCTACAGAGACCAGTTTTTGAACTATTTTTGTAACAAGTAGTAAACATGTTAATTTCTCCTGTAAAGTTTTAAAATGGGAGTTTGTGGAAATGGACAAGAATATGATTGGAATCTGAATAAAAGGTAGAGGACCAATGATAGAGCCTTGTGGAACTCCACAACCTGAAAACAGTCTGTGACGCCCTGTTCTCACAGTTAATCTGCTGGTTACTGCACTGAGTAAAAATGATTTGAGTTTGAACGTTTTCAGGTGAGATCTTGAAGTCACCAGTAAATACAGTTTCCATTTACGCTAGCCATTACATGCATGTAGCCAAAGTCTTTTTTCCACAAAGTCTCATGTATTCAAACTTGTACAACTTCCCCATCTGTATATCTGTGAAACTCCGAGCTTCTGATAATGATACTGAGACATCATTAAAACTGCAGTAAAAACCAACACAGTCACACATTCGTGTCTTCAAACCAGCTTCAAACCACATCGTGCCAGCTTACAAAAACTGAGAGGCACACAACCTGAAGACACGAGAGACATAAGAGTTAGCAAAAAGTGGACATGATGTCAGTTTTCACATCAACGTTGTTCCTGAGGCAGTGCGAGTATAGAATGACCCTAACAGGCTTCCTTTACATCTGCATTCATATTTTTTTTCTCGGTCTCTCATTAAGTTATACTTCTGGTCGTGACTGAAAACTGTTTCTCTATTGGCCAAGTGGACATTAGAGGGACTGCAACTTTTTATACATCATAAATATTGTTGTTGTACATCACTGCTGTACTCTCTCTCTGATTGGTTGGCAGCCGTATGTGGCGGGAAAGATCATTATTTGTGTGCGACTGGGATTTGCATCCCTCAGAAACTGGTGTGCAACGGCTACAACGACTGTGATGACTGGAGTGACGAAACACACTGTGGTGAGCACACACACACACACACACACACACACTCTCTCTATTGTGGTCTGTGTAAATAGCAGGAAACATTTCAGCCCGTCGTCATGGTATTTGCAGGTGATTGAGAGGATGACAGTGGTATGGTTGCTCTGCCTGTCACAGAAAGGTGGTTGCCATGGTAATACAGAGAATCTATAGGCAGCGACTATCAGAAAGGCAAAAGGGGAGAGAGAGAGTTTTGTCTTTGTCTTTTAATGTCTCTCTCCCTCTTTGTGACCCAGCCTTCTTTTAACCAGCAGAGGTTTATGTGGCTGTAAAAGTCACACATGACAACGAATGAAGGAAGAACAACAAACGGCTATAAAGTGAGAAACCAACACAACAGGAAGAACTGAAGAGGACAGGAGGGAGAGGACGAGAAGATTAAACATGAGACAGTTTAAGCAATATTCATCAGGTCTCCTGTGACGCGTTAGTTTGAAGTTCACATCCTTTATTTGGAGTCTTTACCTGTTTCACATTCCCTATGGAAATGTTATGACAGAGAAACTGCAGGGGCACAAGGGAGCTGATTTCAAACGTACATCTTCTAGTATTTAGAACTATTTATAATTTTTAGGGTTTTAAGAGGTTAAAGACAAAAGAAAGTGCAAAAGAGGCCAAACTTAACCATTCATAAATGTGAAGAAAAGCAAAACAGAAACAAAACAAGAGGAAACAAAATAAAGAAATCAGTCAGAATAAGTGTCAGAGGGAAAAACGGCTGGGACACAGTCGAATGAAGCACAGTTGAATGAAGCACAGTGCCGCTGAAAAGCTTCAAGATTTGACAAAACAGGTTATTTAAAAGGTTTGTGGATTGTTGTAAAATGTTCCATTACATCTCTTTTTCTGTTTTTTTTACTCTGTGCTCTCTCAGGAACGTGATTATTATTTTGAAGAAAAATAAATATCTAACATGAGATAAAGGAAAACACGAGGAAAAGTGTAATGAAAAGAAAAAACACATGAAGAAGAAGTGCTGATCATGTCTCTCTCTCTATCAGTGTGTGCAGACGGCGAGTTTCACTGTAACACAGGTCGGTGTCTCTCGCCCGCTCTGGTGTGTGACGGCTATGACGACTGTGGAGACCTGAGTGATGAGCTCAACTGTGGTAGGAACACACACACACACACACACACACACATCACAGAGTATCACACACTCAGGGTGACGCAGTTTGGCAGCTCGGGATCAGCTGTGAAATCAGAGAGAGGGGAAGTGTGGACCGGGGGAATCCACCACCTGTCCATCTCACACACACACACACACACGCACACGCACACGCACACACACGTTTTTGTATCTCTGTGAGGACCCACGCTGAAAGCATCACCAGGCTCAGCTGAGATAAACAGTCTGAGATCGAAGCCAGTTATCATTCCTGAGGCAATGCAACATATGTAACTGGTCAGCTAAATTACAGGAACGCCACAAAGCTAAATGTCATTAAAAGTGGAGCTGCTCTGCTCATTTTTACCTTTGTATTTCTGTTCTTCATACACTACAGTAGCTTTACATGAGTTCAAAATCAACTTTTTAAAAAATATTATTTTGGACCTCTGTGCAGCCATCAGTTCATCCTCTGTCTCGAACAAACTTTAGCTCCTCTTTAAAGCCACCTATCTTCTAAATGATATCCCTCACCAGCAGAAGGATATAACAGTATCTAATCCCTCTCTGGGACACTAAAGATCCAGGATAGGGACAAAAGGGAGCACTTAGAGCATTAAATCAATCAAATTTCTGAGTCTCATCATTTCATATCGTGTCTTTGTATCCCTATCCTTTAAAGGCTTTAACTGTAATGTTGTACACAGTGACCTAGCTTTTTCAGGAAATGGCTAACCCTAACCTTTTACTGACCGTAATGGAAGACTTAAACTCATTTCATTATTACAATCACACACTCTAAGTGAATTCAATGCTGTTAATAGAACATTAGCTCAGCCCAGACTCTGGAGGTCGTTCATGTTATTTATTTTATCTGAGTGTAGCTAATTGTATGTTTACAGTGTGTGATGTGGCCCGGGAGCACCGGTGTGGTGATGGGCGCTGCGTGTCCAGAGACTGGCTCTGCGATGGGGACCACGACTGTCTGGACAAGAGCGACGAACTCAACTGCTGTGAGTGACAGCTGGCTTAGCTTTGAGACATCAGTCATGTTTATAGCTGGTGGTTAATCTAAAGTTGTGTTCAAATTGATATTTAATTGATTAGGAAAATAGTAGCCATGGTAACTCCTGACTTTTTCCATAGACAACCACAGAAGGATTTAAACTAAGAAACGAGAGGTTTAACTTCGCTCATAATTTAAACAACTTACTACTTACACTTTGTTTGCTACTGGTTGTTCCCATTTTCACAGCTCACTGAGCTCAGCAACACTTTCCAGTGGTACACACTGCCCTCTGGTGGTGCTTTCATGTGGTGCACTACCAAAAAACAGCATCTTTGGATCAGTTAAAAGAAAAAAAATGGAACTGCAGCAGGAACAAATGTACATATAGAGGAAAGGACTGAATAGTGAATGTGAAGAAAGCTTTAGTCTGCCTCACATGGTTTCCACTCCGAGGGAAACGTGACAACTTGTGAGCGCTCAGCTGAGTTACTCTGATTTACTGCTGTGTCACATGTTACTATAACTCATCAAAAATGACAGTAAGTGTGTGTGTGTGTGTGTGTTTGCAGCTTGTAAGAGTCAGGGTCTGCTGGAGTGCAGGAACGGTCAGTGCATTCCTTCTGCGTTTCGCTGCGACGGCGAGGACGACTGCAAAGATGGCAGCGATGAAGACAACTGCACCGTAGACCAGAGTGAGACTCACAAAATCACACTAAAAGAAAGTTCAGACAAACGAACCTTTTGACCATAAAAGCTGTTATAAAAGACAGAAGATCATTCAGATGAACTCAAACATCTCACACATGACTTGGTAAATCTTCGATCCCTAATGACTAAGATAATAATTCATGTTCACAGCTAATCACATCCTAATCGTCACCACAAGACACTTTTATTCATAAAGCAGCTTTCCTGCACAGAGGCAGATTCTTAAAACTTAAAACAAGTTACAGGAGCCAAACTGTTATATATACTGACTGTTCTTCAAGCTAGACACAGTTCATTAGCTATCAGGTTGATTGGTTTGACTCACTTTGTAAAGTCTCAGCTTCTGCCTGC